ACTACATCACGATTCACTACTCGAGCCGCTCGAACTCTGTCCTCCCTCAAAACCGGTGTTTATTTATGAGAAAAAAAATTTTCCCTTGTCACATGACATTACCTTTTCACGAACTATAAAAATTATAAACAAATTATGTGTTCGCCAAAGTTGTCATTCAGGGCGAGCGAACATCTCCTATTCAAATATGCTTTTCGCCTGTGTGGACTATCTGTAATGTTTAGTGTTCTCTATTTTATTACTGTTCAAAAACTATTTTCGACTTTCTACGTTCTAGCGCATCAACGACGGTTCCGCAGTTGCAAAAAAAACAAACAACTTTGTGAAATTTCTACCCTTTTCTTGTACTAATTCGGAAATAGGCGTCCCCAAAAAATTAGCCCGCTTTTTTATGCATATTAAATCATGTGACTTACATGATGGCTTTAACCTATTCGTATTAATAATAAGTAAATAATTTTTTCCCTTCATGGTAAACTAAAATCTACTTTTCCGCCGCCACTACTGTTTTTTTTTTCTTTTTTTTATATATTGTGGCGTATCGACCTTCCGCTGTTGCCCGAAAATTTTTGTGCCTGTCAACGTTTTGCCCCGCACAAATTTAGAACATTCTCTTTCAAAATTAACCAATGATTGCTTCTCTACTTTTTGCGTATTAGTATGGGTTTTTAAACCTTAATCGATTAGTGCAAATTTTGTCATGTGTTTTTGCCCATCAGTAATTTTTAATAACTTAATTAAAACAATCTCAATCTCAATCTCCATATATGATCGCATATTAACATATCTTCAAAAAACTAACACTATTGTAATTTCCTTCGATTTCAAATCAAATTTCGCATGTAATCGCAAAAGCAATAAATTTTTTCTTATAAATCCCGATTCGTTCAGTTGTTCATTTTAACGAATTTAATTTAACGATGACACAGAGAGTTATCCAAGTCGCTGTTTCACCTGCTTTGCAAGAGTATGAAACCATTATAGATTTCACTGCCGATTCTCCATTGTTTTCTCTTTTACCCGAATCATGTACTGCAACATTAATAAATCCTCAATCAATGTCTGCAATCATTGAATCACAATGCGGTACATCTAATCACTCGTGCTCAATGTTGGCGTCAATCATCTCAATTGATAAAGAAATTACGTTTCCTTCACGAAAAAGCATATGCACAGTTTCTTTGTGCTCCGTGTTGTTATTGTGGCAGATTACTTTACCCACTTAAAGCTGTATGGGTTTGCAGAAATTCAAACTCACGTTTCCATTTGAAGAGCTATATCCGGATGTCGCTTTACTTGAAAACTTAAAACGTCCCAATACGTTTGCTTCATGTCGAGATTGTCATGATCCACCACGTAAACGCTGTCTTAAACTTCAGGCCATACCCTATGGAAAAAGAAAATATTTTTCTCCTGTCTTTTTTCGTTCAAGCCTTGGACGTACTGGTAATCTGTCTTCATTTAGTAAATATCGCTCAATAAAGGTTACAATAAACTATTCTAAAAATTATCGGCATACTTGGTGCGTTTCTCGAAAATGATGAAATTAATCGAAAATCATTGGTATCATCCTTCGTTTCCAGCAGCCTGTGAATGGTTGCAGGAACATAATAATCCATATCTACGTGCTATCATTATCGCTTCCATCTTACGGGAAGGACAGAACTAAACGTGCCCATTTATTTGGTAACCGTAACCTTATCAATGAACAACTGTATTTCATAGTCAATATATCCATTCCTCAAGTACTGTATATACTAACTATAGTTGTATATACTTACTGCTTTTGTTATAATACTATGGTCGCTCTCAACAGCTCATCTCCCCCAAGCAAATTAGGCAAACGTGTATACAGGGAGATGGAATTAGTGAAGGGGAGATGTAGCATCCCCCTACTAAAGGGGAGATACCAAACTTGGCTGATCTACATTAATGATACTGATTTAAGGCATTTTCATATGCCATTAATATTAAATCTTATGATAATAATAATAACATAGTAATAATAAAATCCTTACTATTGGAGTTACGTCAATTTTCAAAAATGGAAATGGTCAAATCTACACTCACCGGCAAAAAGTATCGACTCAAATCTTGGTGTAACACAATACCGCATAAAACCCGTTAACTTCGATGGACTATGCTGCGACAACTTACTAATAAAATTTTAATGAATTATATATCATTCGAATCGGAAAATCTAAAACTTTTTATCGGTTTTATTAATATGGTGTTGGGTTGCCTTTACTTTCAATTACAGCTTTAACTCTACGCGGCATACTTTCTACTAAATTTCTAAATAATTTGGGTCCAGTTTTGACCACTCCTCCTCAACGGCAGCAGCTAATTCATTTAGGTTTTTTGGTGAAGATGTTCGTCCACGAATCCCTCTCTCTAATCTGTCCCAAACATGCTCGATTGGATTGAGATCTGGACTCTGTGCGGGCCACGAAAACGATATTACCATATTTTCGCCTTTCCATTTAGCCACTTTTTTTGCGGTATGAATTGGGGCATTATCCTCTTGAAAAATATAAGTATTTGGCTCCAGTTGACTCAAAAAAGGTAATAAATTTTTTTGCAGAATTTCTATATAGCCATCTGCGTTAAGTTTACCTTTTATTAAAACCAGCGGTCCAGCTATTATTGATGAAACACCCACACCATTATACCCCCACCTCCGTGCTTATAAGTTGGAACCAAGCAATCAACATCATATGCTTCTTTTGGCTGACGCCAAACCCTTACATGAGCATCATTTTGATACAAGGTAAAACGGGATTCGTCGCTCCAGATGACGGTTTTCCATTCGTTATCCCATATTCTTCGTTCTTTACACCACTAAAAGCGTTTTTTGCGATTCTGCTCAGAAATAAAGGGTTTTCTCTTTCCAACACGACTGTGGAAACCAGCTTCATACAAATAACTTCGGACCGTTCTTTGACTAACAGAAATGTTTAACTGTTCGTCCATTTGTTGAACAAGTTCATCAGCAGTTGTTTGCCTATTTTTTCGTACTTCTTGAGCTAAGTACCGGATGTTTCTGTCGGACATTGATCTCGGTCTTCCACTTTTAGGTTGAACTGTTACCTGTTGCTTATCACGAAATGCATTTATAGCACGAGTAACTTGCGATTGTGTATGTCCAAGGTATCGGGTCTTTTTACCACATTCCCATTGCCCAATTACTCTTCCCCGTTCAAAATCCGAAAGTTCTCTATTTAATGGCATATTTATTTCAAGATATAAGAAGTTGAGAAGGTCTACTTTTAGTGAAAAAAAACCCCAATTGGTTTTGATAAGGTAGATGGTTTGAAAACGCAGTTCGAAGATTATCAAGTTTTACGAATTTTTGTGTAACATTCAGCTTGAGTCGATACTTTTTGCCGGTGAGTGTATGTAAGGGGGTACATTGTAGTGATAGTGGATACATGTCGGTGAAATACGGTAGTTCTTTGTTGAATATATATAGTAGGAGGAATGTGCAAACTACGTCTCGTGATCCTAACTATACTTGTAATTCTGGTTGGAGATCAGCAAGTTCACGTGAGTCAAAATTTACTCGTAGGGGAAAAATTTTTCGGAAGAGAACAACTCTCTAATGTTGGCAAGCAATTGAGAAATTCGCTAATTGTATTGGCTTCTTACGTAATTACTTATGTAAACATGAGCTAAACTGCTCGACGGCAGCATTGCGTCGTATTGAATCTTGTCTTGCTAATTGTGCCGAGGATGTTGGATGAAAATGGATCGATTGAGAAAGTTTCGGATGTTTTTGGAAGAAGAAACAGAGAAAGAGAAAGCTATTCGATTTTGGACTTAGCATACATGCAAGAATTATGATCCTAGAGCAAGGAATACTATAGGCCTTGTTTATGAGTGAGTACTTTATGCACGAGTTGAGAAAGGTTATGAGCGGCATACTTTGCTTTATCGAACTTGCAATTAAACTTGAGATCATACTAGTATGTTTTTTAATAGTGTGTAAATGAGCCCCCCTTGGCATTGTTATACTGAATAGAGAAAGCGGTTTTTTTGCCAAGAGGACGTTATATATTCTAACACTGATTCCTACGCTGGATTAATCATAAGGCTATGGGGGTTTCCGACCGACCGATATGTTCTCAGTGCTTTCGGCATGCTCGATTAATGCCTGACCCTTGGACCCGATTTTGAATCAAAGTTGACTGCCAACAATTTATCCTGGATAATTTTCTGCTGTTATAGCCATTGCACACTGAAAGGAGTCATTCAAGGATAAGAATTCGATGAGGAATGTCGGTCCGTCATTCCAAATAATCAATCAATCAATATCTCGGTAACACTATCCCATTCGACACCAAAACGCTATGCGACGGATGGGTTTTCACGTTCAATGTATACTGTTTTTCGCCGAATATGTTGGAAACGTTTAATCAACTTCGTTGCCAACATGAGACAAGAGGTTGTCTGCAGTTCAGATGCACAACGTGCTACTTGATCGAAATCCTTTTTAGGGTCACGGTGTTTGATGGACTAATTTTGCGTAACAGGGCCATGAGTATGAAAACGTGTGGACGTTTTTCTTTAAGAGGTAGCCATGATCTTTTCTTAGCTAATATTCAAGTGTTCGATTTTTTCCAATATGCTCGTACTTATTTATTTGTCGCAGGAAACTGTCTAGAGGTTGTTGCAACAGACGTCTAAAAGGGTTATTTCAAACAATTAATGAGCGACGACGATGGACCACTAAATTATGCTACCAGTCATGTGACAACCAATAACCGCTGCACAGCATATAATGGTAGGGGTACTGTATATACCGGGGAGATATAACTGAGCTTTGCATAACAGAAAACTACGTACGTTGAAATGTTCTTGTCTTTCGTATTTTATGGTCGAATAGACAATATATCTGTTTGTTGTCAATAAATTGTTACTACAGTTTTAGTAATGCCAAGAGCTGATTCATTAATATTATATGACATCAAATATCTTACGGGTTTCTTCTCTTGTTTAACATGTCGACCTCCCAAACACGCCCCAAAACACCACCTACTGAATATGGACCCTCACTCACTCCGCCAACACTGGAAGAAATCAATATCTGCCATTTATCTATAGACGTAGAATTAAGTGAGAATACAGATAATGCTCCTCCACTAGCCGTGGCAGATAACGATAGTAATCGTGGACGTTCGGGTCATCTCCCGCCATGGGTCTTCTTGATTCTTACTGTCAATATTTTAGCTACTGCAGCTATAGGAATAACATTGATTCAACTGATAATAGTAAGTGTACGCTACCCGAAATTATAATTGACAAGCGGTGATGTCATATATGGTATCAATCGTAACAATATCAAGGGTTAATGCTTCTAACATGCTTTCGTAATTTCCATTGACAGTATGCCAACCATTACGAGGGAAGACGTCCGGCTCTAATCGCTTGGTGTATAGCAGAGTCCCTGTTTCGTCTATGGGCTGTTTACTTTGCAGTCAGAAATTTTTCTGCGACTTATACAATAATCCATTCGTTGGGAATATTCTTAGGTACAGTATTGTCAGCAATACAATGTGCTAAAGTAACAGTCCAGTCAAACTTGGTCAAATCTGTTATATCGTATTTATATTTATAAACAGGGAAAGGATATTACCTCCTCTTGGTCTATTCACTACGGCCTGCTTCTGATCTTCAGGACAAAAGCTTGATTAATGGCGTGGTATACTATACATTTTTCAATTTTTATTTTGGCATTTGGTTTTGGGTTGTAACCTGGATAGCGGTAAACCATAGTTCAGACAATTACGCCAAGTTGTTAGCTACAACCGGTCTCGTTGCATGTCTGATTAATGCTGTCAATGTACCTTTATTATTTTGTGTCAGTATAATTAAGTTTCTGTTTACGCAAATTATGCGAATTATCCAACATATTCAGAAGGCAGATTCTGAAGGTACTAATTAGAGTACCGTAAAACTCCAACTTGTGTACCCTCCCCTATAAGAGATTTATACCTGGGTAACAATATTTTTGGCCTTTTGATTTATAGCCCATTCTGTATTTTTCTGTTACGTACGTAGTATTGATTTTAAAGTACGTAGATACACGTTTAGCATAATGTTATGATGCAATTTATCATTATGACTTATGTTAAGTCAACTACATTGACAATGATCAATGGCCAAGTTCATCGAAATACATCGCGGTCATTGAATGAGATGAAATTTATGATTGAATTGGTTGGTTCTATTCCCAAATATTATCGCTTGTAATTACTTCGCATTCTTCATATTCTTCGCCATCGAGATCATTGATAACTTCAGTATTTTCTTCATTCGCATTTGTCAAACCTTCATAGTCAAATACCAAATCGTCCTCTGACTCATCAAATACCAAACCATCCTCTGACTCATCAAATACCGCAACTTCATCCCACGATTCTTTAACCATTGAGCTAATAAAGTGGAATACGACGGTTTTCGAATACGTCCAGCAGGCGTAAACTGATGTGGGTCCCATCGGTCATCCATTGGTTATAACGGAGACGTACCTAATAAATTTAATCTCGTTATTAGTAAGCTCTATAATAAAAAATTATTTTAATACCATACTTTTTCTTTGAAGCTTTTGTTTATTGCGACATCAAGAGGCTATAGCTTACTAGTTTAGCCCACCTGGAACGACCGCAAAATGATAATTTTTTTCATTGAACTGACTTTTAACAGAATCTGCTAAATAAGGTCTAAAGGAATCAAAAATAAGAAGAGACTGGGATTTCTCAATTCATTACGCTAAAAAAAATCAGCATTTCGTGCAAATTTCTTCTAATAATTTTTGTGGAAACTTCAATATTAGTTTTTTCAACAAAGAATTTTTAATTTGTTCAGCTGATTTACTATTTTTTTTAACAATATAGTCTTTAAAATTGCTTGACTTTTGTTAGTCAAGAATTTCGGACGCCCGGATCGGGGACGAGTAGCAAGGTCATCTCCATTAAGGTGCTTCTCAATTGTATGAGAGACAGTTGTTCTACGAACTTTGAGCATTCTACTAATTTTTGGTACTGATTGCTTATTTTTGTAAAGGCTAATCCACTCTTACTATTCGCTAAAGACTCTTTTCTTCTACTTACCCTCATACTATTTGTTTATGTCAGGGCTCCGACGTCGGGAAAACTTTTCGAAATCGGGGCGGTTACTCGTATGTAATTCCTAAGTAGTATAAGTAGATATGATAATAATTTTTTGGGTTATTTAATGACAGGAATTGTTTATCTTACCGAAGACAAAAAAATATTTGAAAAAGGGGTCCGTATTATTTCATCGACAATCATTTCACCGACAGTACATTTCACCGACAATTAACTACCAAAAAAGGATAACTTCGACATAATGTTGTGAATATTTGTCGGTGAAATAATTGTCGATGAAATGATTGCCTCCCTTGAAAAGACGTCCGTTGAATATCTGAATAAATTAATAAACTTACGTATAATACAATTTTCCCCGAACTTTTTTATCATTCTACTCGGTGCGTACGCATTAATATGAAGAAGCATTTTTGTATGTGTACACAGGGACGGAATGTTTGTACCCTTCGTCGGCTATGTGGTCGATAAACCGGTCGTCGTTTCAAAGACTTGTTCGAGAGTTGTAGTAAACCGACGTGTGTGCGCCATGTGGAATGTCGGCAAAGACTTGTTGCATAACGTTGTATGGGAGAAGTTGTTGTAAAGCGATGGAGAGTAGCGTTTGGATATATATGAGTATCGGTTACGTGGTCTATAAATCGTGTCGTTGTTTCAAAGAGTTGTAGAAAGTGTCGTAGATGCGTCAAGACTACTTTGACATCGGACCGTTCCGTACTAATAATAACAAAGGAATAGATGAGTAACCACATCATAGTCAAGGACCAATGAAGAACGTTCACAACAGGCGCGTCTACCGATGTCAGTATGAATGCTAAATGCACACTGTCTATATTCTGCACGCACGTGCAATAGATTTTGCGGTCCCGGCTATATGAAAATAATCTCTGTAAATGCACGCACGTGACCCAGCAGCTAAATATGGTATAGTAAGTCAATGTCCATCACCAATGAAATTCGGCGAGCGAGTTAAAGACTTTATCATTCCCAGGTCATAAGACAATAACAAATTATCGGATCATAAAATGTAACGAATATGGAATCCGTGCTATAATCATTCCACTTTACGCAAAAGCGAACTACTTTCTGGTGTCAAGTTATATTCGAGATGTGAGAATACAGTTCTGTAGTAACATTGTCTGCTAACATCAGGTCATGTATTTATTTAGACATCAATAGTCAACAGTGGACAGAACATCGTAATATCGTATTCTGTAATAATTTACGATTGTAACAGTTAGCCACTATTTAAACATGCCATCGTGGTCATAGTCATAAAAATCAACAATTTATCATGCCACCAAAAAGTAAGACAACTTTGACAGATTCACAAAAATACGAACTTTGCCTGTATGCTTGCGATAATAAGAAATCTCGTGCGGAGTATGTTAATTGGATCGAAAATAAATGGCAAGTCAGAGTTAATGGTCTACCATAACACGAATTTGCAAAGTAACTTTCTAAAGAAGAAATCATTGCTCCAAATGCAAAAAGACACAGATCGGTTACATACCCAGAACTCGAACAAGCACTGAAATAGCAGCTATCAGTGCCAGTACGGCATTACAAGGCTTGGAAACTGTACAAGCGTTTTTACTACAAGAAAATGCAAGTGAATACATAAAAATGACAAATATTCTCGGGAGAGAAAAAAGCTTATGCGATGCGACAAACAAGCATATTTCCAATAAATGAATAAAGTATCGGAATCACGTGAATTTACTATACTCTCCCTAAATGCATGCTCTCATACTTTTGGTCCCAAGGGCGTGCATTTAGGGAGAGTTCACTGTACTATGTCAAACTGGTGCTAACACATGTTAGAATGGCATAAGGTAGGTATAACCAAAAATGCAATATTATTTATCATGTCTACAAACTTACATGGACATGTAAACTACTTTACAAATAAAAATATTTTGAAGTTATATAAGATATCAACAGATCACTTAGAAATAACTTACATGTAACCAATTGGTCATTGCAGCTAAAAATTTTTTCAAATAACACAAATAACACAAAATAAAAATGTTACCAAAATATCTTGCCAATCTGCTCAATTTTCTTAAGGTTATTTTGTGCCTCAGTAAGTCCTTGTTTAGCTGCTTTCTGATACAGCTCAGCTGCTTTTTGAATATTCTTTCCACTCCTTCCCCATACTGATAACAAATACCAAGATTACATTGTGCTGCAGCATATCCTTGTTCAGCTGCTTTCTGATACAACTCAACTGCTTTTTGAATATTCTTTTCCACTCCTTTCCCATGTTTATACCAAAGACCAAGATTATATTGTGCCACATCATATTCTTGTTCAGCTGCTTTCTGATACAGCTCAACTGCTTTTTGAATATTCTTTTCCACTCCCCTCCCATGCTTATAGCAATAACCAAGATTATTCTGTGCCATGGCATCACCTTGTTCAGCTGCTTTCTGATAAAGCTCAACTGCTTTTTGAATATCTTTTTCCATTCCTGTCCCATTCTCATAGCAAACACCAAGATTATATTGTGCCCTGCTATATCCTTGTTCAGCTGCTTTCTGATACAGCTCAACAGCTTTTTGAATATTATTTTTCATTCCTGTCCCATTATCTATATCATAGCAAACACCAAGACTATTTTGTGCCTCGGCATATCCTTGTTCAGCTGCTTTCTGATACAGCTCAACTGCTTTGTTAATATTCTTTTCCACTCCTGTCCCTTTGTCATAGCAAACACCAAGGTGACATTGTGCCCTGGCATATCCTTGTTCAGCTGATTTTTGATACAGCTCAACTGCTTTGTTAATATCCTTTTCCACTCCTGTCCCTTTGTCATAGCAAACACCAAAGTGACATTGTGCCCTGGCATATCCTTGTTCAGCTGCTTTTTGATACAGCTCAACAGCTTTTTCAATATTCTTTTCCACTCCTATCCCATTCATATAACGAATACCAATACTATTTTGTGCCTCAGCATATCCCTGTTCAGCTGCTTTCTGATAAAGCTCAACTGCTTTTTGAATATTCTTTTCCACTCCTGTGCCATCCTCATAGCAATAACCAAGATTACATTGAGCAGTGGCATTGTCTGCCTTTGCTGATTGTTGATACCATTGAACTGCTTGTCCAAGATCTGTTTCTGTTTCTATTCCATGTTCATAGAAGAATCCAATCAGCCAAAAGCATTGTCCACAATTGGTATGAACCTTTAATGCAGCCAATGAACTTTCTTGATTATCATTATTTTGTATCAGCCAATTTTTCATAAAATCAGTTACTTGTTTCAGGGATTTCCCATTAAATCTTAAATTTTTGTATAATACTGACAACTCGTTAGAAAGAGTGTGATCTATAATCTCCTCGTTCTTTGGGTTAGAATCACATTTTGGTAATTGGTTCAGGTTTCCCATTATATTTTTTAATCTATGACAGCATTGGTCGCTGGTTGGTCGTTTTTCTGAATCATTGTCCCAGCATTCTGTATACAAGTTTTTATACTCCTCTGGTGTGCCTGGAACTATATCATGGCGACCACCATTCAGCCTATAAATCCGAATGTCGAATATATCTTTGAATTCCCTGCATGGATATTCCCTGCTGGATATTTCCCATAGAACAATTCCAAGGCTAAAAATATCAGATTTCTCATCTCGTTTACTGTCATTATCATTGAAGCATTTAGGGTCAAGGTATGCATAAGTTCCTTGGTGATCTGAGCAAGTCTTTCGTAGTAATATTTTTTCAGATGTCCCAAAATCCGTGATCTTAGCCGTCTTCCCGTGAATTAACACATTGTTCGAAGACTTGT